GATCCCGGGGGCAATCCCAAGAGGTGCTGGCAGCACCGCAGTAACCACTATCCGTAACGTTTTGTGATCGGCTCCGTTTTCTTTTGCGTTCTCGCGCGTTCTGCAGTAAGAGGCTGTTCTAGTGCAAAGTCGTCAAAAGTGTAAACAAACCGAAAACACACTCAGATTTTTATCCTAATACAAGTCTTAATATTTTTTTGTAAATGTTTTCAGTGTTTACTGTACCGTATCTATCTCACTAACAGTTGTATATAGTAACTGACTTCTGGTGCTGCTTATTCGGTCAGGATTTGGCTGTAGCTCACTGCTGTTCTGGCGAGGTGGACGCGACCCAGCACATCTGGAGCCAGACAGGGGTTACGATTTCGGCGTCCTCCCGTTGGGGAGCTGAGGGAGGGAGAGAAGCCAGGGATCCAGATCTGGGGTTGGTCCACCTCAAGGATTCTGTTTTGAGAGATTTGAGTTGGGGTTTTGTTAAACTGTAGTGAACACTTCTTTAAAAAAAAAAAAAAAAAAGCAATTTTTATTTTTGTGCAAAGGGGGATGACAGGGCCTGAACAGTAGCCCGAGGTCTCTGCGGACTGTAAATATCCTCGGTTTAGACAGGGATTATGGCTTCAGTGCCAAAAGACTGGAGGGACCCAAGTCCTTCCCCATGCCAACTAATACTACAGTGTCGGCACCAGCCCCTTTTGCACCCGTTCAAGCAAATCCTGCCACCATCCAAAGAGTCCCGCGTCGCCCTGCATTGTCACTTGAGTCCGGTTGGTTTTGTTTTCCGCTTTTGCAGTTGTAAAGCCCTGATGGCACTGTGAGAACGCGCTGAATCCCCTGGCCTGGCCGCCAGCCCCGCAGGTGGGTGCAGGACACGGGTTCTGCTACGCGAATGTTCCTAAAGGGAGAAGGGACGCGGTGGGCCTGGGAGAGGCTCTCCTAGGAAAGCAATCAACAAGCAAGCAATCATTCCCAAAGTTCAGAGCACTCACAGGCTTTCCCCCCGTTACTAACGGCCATACCCAGCTGCAATAGAAAACACGCTGAGTCTGGGCTGTGATGAACGGAAGAGGATTTTTAGTCGCAGGAGATGGGAAATGCACTGCTGCATTGGGCCAGGACAGCCACAAAGTGCGGCTCAAAGATCTGAGCTGCGAGGAGCTCGTCCGTCTGGCCATCCCCCCCCCCCCCCCCATCCCAGGGCAGGGGTAGCAGCCCCTGGGAGATGCCTTCCTGGCAGCAGCACCCATGGCCAGTGGAGCCCAGCAGCTCCACCAAGGTCCCTGCCCGGCCCGTAGCACGCAGCCTTGCCTGCAGAGCCCGAAGCAGAAAATCCACAGGGAATCCCGGTGCAGCGCTCCGTCCTTCCCACGCTGACCATCGGCGTCAGCCTCTTCCCCAAAGGTTTGTGTTCGGAGCAGTCCAGGCCTCCTGCTGGGCCAGTACGGGGACCTGGCGTGGGGCAGAGCACACGGCCTCGTGGCCACCAGGAGATCCCCTCGCTGGCCCCAGGAAGGGGCACTGCCCAGCTCCAAGTAGGGCTCTGACTCTTCAGGGCAATTTCAGAGATTGCTCAGCCGCAAGGTTTGGCCGAGCAGCCAAGCCCTGCTCCGAGAGCCGCCCAGCCCCACGCTCACCCTGCACAGGTAATGCCTGCCTTTCGCCTTTCGGGTGGGGGGGATCACACATGGAGGGGCGAGGGAGGACGCCAGCAGCACGCTAACCCACGGGCTTTACGCCCCAAATCCAATCTCGAGGGGGTTGCACACTATTCAGAAACCACCACGCTTTGAACAAGGGTGACACGTTCCAACATTGGCTTCCACAGATCCCCCGAGCTGTGACGTTGCTGTAAATGCCCTGCGGTTCTGCATCAGCTACAGTCCCCCGTCTCCACGTCCACATACTCCTTTATCATACATCACTGTGTCTTAAGATATACCTCTCTCTGTATATCTGCTTAGGCTGATACTTGTTCCTGATAAGCAGTCGCTATGTTTTATATCCTCTTATAAAGAAAAAAAAAAAAATTTTTTTTGTAAGTATGTTTAAAAAAACAAAAGCAAAGTGGAAGTGTTTGCTGAATCTCCTTCAGCTCCTTTTAAACTATGTAATAATGTACAGAGAAAGTTGTTGGTGTTCAAAGAAATGATGTGGCCGTGCAATTTATGTACATTTGCAATTAGAAATATTAAAGATTTATTTAGATATTTTACACAAGTGCTCCCGCACCCTCTACTCAGTCATTTCCAGTCCCTAGAGCACCCTAGCCCACGTGCACACGCGAGCGTTCGTCCCGTCCCTCTCCCCAGGCCGATCACCTGAGAGGCCGCTGGCAGCAGCGGCTCCGGAGCGAGGGCCGACGGTGCAGAGGGCCGTGGCGGGGATCGGTGGTCCCTCTGCTCATGGGATGCACCAGACCC